TGAAAATCACGAATGTATTGATCAACTTTTTTAACATACTATCGATATTCACGCTATTAATGATGTAGATTGTGGTATAATTTTGATACTGATGTATTTTTTATAATTTATAGCTACTAGGGGTATAAATACTTTACGACGCTTATAAAATTGCTATCATAACTTGAGGTAAGTGACAAAATTGTCACACTATGATATCTTTTAGTATTTACTCTCGTACAGATGTAAGTATAACAAATATAATTATTTACCTCGTACGAGAATCGATCCCATGACAAACAGTGCATCAGAGAAATCTAAACGAATATAGTTCGAAATCATTCTTCATTTAATAAAGCAAATATTGACCAAAACAAACAAAATATTTTTACCTATAATTTATGTTTTTATTGTTTGTAGCAACCAGTTAAATTTTATTATAAATAAATCAGCAATTAAAACTGAATTAATATTAAAACTGAAAAAAATGAGATTCATTATTTCCTTCGCTGCCATTGCAGCAGTCGCCATGGCTTGCCCGAGCTCCAATATTTGGAATCTCCAGCAAATAAGTGATGCTCTGCAAGCTTCTATCTCTCTTCTTACACCCCCCTGACTCGGTTTTTAGCATTTTTTTTCAATGTACAGACATTCGACCCCTGCAGCTTTATTATATGTATAGATAGGAAATTAAATTTTGTATATAGTACATACTGTAGATGTCACAGTATATGTACTTGTCAAATGATAAATAAATTACTATCAATAATTTTATTTTTTTTGACAAAGTTTGAGTTCTAAACAGTAAAAGTAGTAAAATTTAATCTTTCAAATTTTATATCCAAATATCATAACTACAGTAAACTCATAAAAAATGGATTATAGATAAGATAGTCTTAATTGGTACCTAAACAAAAAATGTCATGGCATTACAATATAAATATTGCTTCAAAATGTCCTTGTTAATAATTGAAGTATTCGTCAATTACGCTATAAAGATGAATAAAAAGTTAGAGTATCTAATAAATAACATAACATATAATTTAAAACCATATGTCACTATTTCCAAATAAGTATGTTTAAAGTCAGAAGCCAACGTATTTTTTATTCATTTGTTTATTTTTCAGCCACTAATTAGCTAGTTTATGACTACCACTAATTTCAAACGAAATTGCCTTAGCTCTCATTTAGCATATGTTTATTTAATAAATATAATAATAATATAATAAATATTGTAATCGCCTTAGTGTTTAGTTATCATTTATTTCTATTAAATCATCATCTTCCTGCCCATTTCCCAATTACTTGGGGTCGGCGCAGTACGTCTCCCGTACCGCTGATAGGATTTGGTAAAAGTTTTACGATCGGCCGCCTGCCTGACATCAACCCTTCTTGGGAATATTTAATATATTTCTATTAAATATTTAATATTAATGTAGGTACATAGCGTAGAAATTATTGTTATTTTTTATTTCTAGACTTGATAGTATTATTTTAAAACTGTTTCAGCGGTCATCTGATAATAAATATTTCTTAAGCTTATTTTACCAGAATTATTCTTTGTCAAGTCGTTTTAAGTTGATAACAAATTTTGTAATGTGTGTGTTTGACAACAATTCTTACATTTACTATCTAGATAAATATGAGCTGTCGATAAACAATTTCAGTATTTTGTTATAATTATTAATCTACTCCGTCTTCGTTTGCATATACATCAAGTCTCATTTTTCACTCCATACAGACAAGAGGGATGTCATAAACCTTATTCTGTTTATATCTGTGTGTATTTAGATTAATTAAGTTTTATTAATTAATTTTATTCAATTAGATTTAATCAAGCGGTTTTGAATTGTCAAATTCATCGATGTCAGTCCGTGAGGATGCTACCATCCGCTCCAACTGCAGTTCTGCTAATAAGAGCCAGCGAGAAATTTTACAGTTGCCTTTTCAAATATTGAGTTACATTTTAGTTATTTTATTAACATAACATTATAAATAACCCGTATATGAGTCAATGTATCTCAATTCCACACATTTCCATCAACAAGAAACACTTGAAAAGAGTTGTATACTTTACTCATTAAAATATTTTTAATTAATTTATTTTAATAATTAAGTTTTTTTAATAAAAATAGTGTCATTGGTGTGTTTCCTATTTTATATTTATATGATATTAGCAACTTCTTTAAATTCAATAGTTTTAGGAATCATTATTGAAGTTATAAGTACTTCTTATGGCACGTTTGGAAAAATAATGAGAGTAAAATTTTTACAATGCACACCGACAGCCAAAAAGCGACATGATGAAGTTAGTTGCATTCCTTTTACAAACAGAGAGTTGTGACATACGGGGTGAAATCTTTAGCTGTTTTTGTTTCATTAACCAAAGAAGTATAACCTCTTACGTGCGTATATAAGTACACACACGCGTTTTCTTACGTCTAATTTTTTTTATATTTACTTTATTATTAAGATCGTGGTATAGATTAAATTGACTCTACGGTAATGAAATAATAGATTTCGAAGTGATTCTGAAAGGGTAATTGAGAAAAATAAATGTGAAATTTATGTTTCATTTCAGCTATTAATTTTAATTTAATACATAGTTAAGAATACTGTCAGTATACTTGACCAATATATTAGGCTTCCTAGCTAACATTTGGAATATATCATTTAAAATATTCTGTTAGTTTAATTAATATTATTCTGTTAGTTATTAAGTTACATTCTGTTAGTTACACATTTTAACTAACTGTAATTACTTAAAACCTATTTTTTTTATCATCAGAGTTTTTTATTAATTTGACCACTCCAAAACAATCCATATATTTACTATATTTTTTCTTATTTATCACCACTATTGTTTATTTTTTCGAAACGAAAATAAATTGATTGATTGTTTTAAGTCAGTATTTTAGATTATAAAACCTATGTATGTATGTATATTATTATTATTATTATGTAGTACAGAATTTTTTTCTTCCACAAATTTTATTTATTTCTATAAATTGTTAAGATAAAAATAATAAGACTTTATTTCTTCCTTAATCTAAAGAATTAAACTTATCAATTTATTATACTATACAGCAATTACGTGACATATTTTATAAACATTTGATAATATTTACAGTGCAATGATCAAAATTATAAGGAAATATAGGATAATGAATATAATTTAAATATTGTAAAAATTATTAATAATTATTTAAAACATTCAATCTATATCAATTTTGTCAACAATGTCTGCCCTTTTACTTACTTTTGAGTGTTGTACAAGTATCGATTTTCAGTTTAATATAAATACTGAAGAAAATTTGTGACACTAATCAAAGCTACGTGTAATGACCGTTACAGTTAACAGATTCAGAATACTGTTCCCCTGAGGTAATTTTTTTACATAACTTTATCAATAAACTATATTGCCTCTAATTTATTTTCTAAATTAATAAGTAGTAGAGGATGAGTTCCCTCCCAACGTGCGTTCATCTTGTCGTGGGAGTCGTGGTCTTCATTACTGTCCGGCAGTTCAGCCGGGCGCGGAGCCAAGAAACGCACTGGGAGGTGGCCCACTTCGATGGGCGGTGTACCATGCGGGTTGCTCCTGGTACTTCTATGACAGCAGAGTGGACTTGCCGTCGGGGCGTCGTGATTGAGTGCATAAGGTGATCCTGCGATGCCCTATTAAGATGCCGAGGTTTTGTTGGGTTTTAGTGGGTAGTACTGGCTTTTCTAACCGGTGAGTCCCACGTAAATACATTTCTCAACATTAAAAAAGGGGTTAAAGCATTGAATACAATTTAGATTTCCATGTTTTCAAGGTCGAGTATTTCTTTGATCAACAGTATAGCCATCTCAGCTGGTAAGAGATTCCTTTAAGAGAATTTAGTATCATTTTTGTGATTCTAATTATTTATAAGCTCAAAGTTGAATTGAATTTTTTACCAAATTATTGGTCATTGGTTACTATACTGATAATAATTTAATTGACAAAAAAAAATTAATGACCTTAAAAATAATTAGTATAATATGTTACATATCACTTTAAAAGATCAGCGATATTGTTGGAAAGCTTTCCAATAATAATTAATTCAGAAAAATGTAGTAAAATAGTTTCAGGTGAGATGGCATTATTCCAAAAATACGAGCTTGTGTCCTAGAAACATTTATTTAACATTTACTTGTATTACCGGTACTAATAAATTTTAAACTATTTTTTTAGTTGTGCTTATTTCTATAAACTTGATAGATAAAAAATAACGAAAATTAATAACTTTTATAACAATTAATTTAATTTTACTTTAACTGAGTACAAGCAATATCACAGATATTTTGTTTTGGCCCTTTTGAATATTTTTGAGTTCTATTTTATTTTTTAAATTTTATTTATTTTAAATAAAATTTTAACTAATATGAGTAAAATATTGATTTCACCTCTTAATTATTTGATGTAGATACAGTAAGTATTTAAAAAAATAGTTAAGATAAGATAGACAGTTTTTATAAAAAGTAAAAACATTTTAATTGTAAATTGAAAAATTAAGGAGGGTTTACTGGGACTGCTCAAAACTGTAAGGAGTTAACAATAGTTAGTAAAAAAAAATCGAATCCAATGCATTCTTTTATTTCGAGCTGAATGTACAAAACCACAAATAAAATTAATTATTAGTACATTAGAGTATGTTATTATCTGGTTGATAATAGAATGGGAAGCGAAACTATAAAAATCATCATAAAAAGCGTCGTTTTTTATTGAGGGATTATTTGATTAGCGCGTTATTGGTTTCGATAGAAATAAATAATATAAGTGTTATTGCCGATTTTTGCATTCGTAAGGAAACCTTTGCGAGAAACACAGGTGTGTAAATTAAAATATATGTGTTATGTAAAGACTTTTAAAATATGGTTATACAACAAAAAAAAAGCATGTAACAGCAACGTAATTTATTATACTTAATATTTTATGAATGAAGTCACTAAGCTAAACCATAACTTTTTATTCGTTTATAGGTAAACAAATCACAATGAAATTCTTGCTACTAGGCCTCTTTATTGCGGCGGTAGCTGCTGCCCCGAAGCTACGAAAAGTTGAAAATGACCAAGAAATAATACCAGGCCCTGTTATTCTTCCTGAACCTGCGTTGCCAGTAGTCGTACCTGAATCCGTTATTCTTCCCGCACCGCAATTACCTGTAGTCGTACCTGACAATGTTGTACTTCCTGAACCCGAATTACCAGTTGTCGTACCAGGACCAGGTGTCATTCTTCCAGCACCCGAGTTACCAGTATTGCCCGAACCCGCGCCTGAGTTGCCTTAAATCGACTCTATAGTAGTTCCTGAGTTGCCTCCTCTTAAGCCAGTTGCTCCTAACGGCGAGGTATTCAATGATGGTATAGTGCAAGTTTCAGTTCATACAGACACCACGTTGTTGTCATCTGTCCATAACTGGGTTAGCTTGGTGTTGAACTACATCAAGAATGGTATTCAGAGCACACACCATATCCTTGGATACTAATGGAACTACCTTGTATCATAAAAAATAACTCAACAAACCATGTAATAATAAAATTAAAAAAGAAATATTTTTAATTTTTTTAGTTTTTTATTTCATAAAATCATTCTATATGTTTCATTATTATATAGTATTATACGTTATTTTGTAATTATTGTAGAGATAAATTAAACAATAATTAATAATTGATTTAATAATTGACAGATCACAGAGCAAGAAATAGTTATTTCTTAAAATAAAAATATATTATATAAACAAAGGACAAAGTTATCTGAATTAATAGTTATATATATATATATATATATATATATATATATATATATATATATATATATATATATATATATATATATATATATAGTATTTATAAATTTAGTAAAGTGAGAGTCGAACTTGTAGTTTTCGTACCACAATTTAGAATATATTTTTTAATTTCTTTATTAGGATATGTGGTTAAGGGAATATCACTTCAATCATTCCTGGTCTATTGTGATAGCCGTACCGAACTAGAGTAAGCCCTGCAGCTGTAATATACTGCGGGATTTGCTTCGGGGTATACCCCATGATTTCATCTGGGCCTAAAAAGGGTTCCCTTAGGTGTATATTTATGTTACTTATCCCACTCGTCATATAAATGTGAAATTTTATGAGTCAATAAAGGAAGGGGTGAAAGTTTATGTTACTACTTCATGCTATGATGGTTCCGATTTGAGTAAATTTACTAATGTTTTATTTTTGGGTTTGTAGTATAATCATACCAAGTTTAACACTTTCAGAACAAAAATTGTTTGTATAATGTGTTTAACTTTTATAAATTGTTTTTTTTTTAAATTGTTAGAAAATCTACAATAATAAACACATTTTTATTGGTTACCTATTACAGTTTATAATATTGATACATACTTCTAAAACACAGACTGACGGACGGATAGATGCAATCGCAAGACAATTAGGCTTAATAATAAGATTAAATTTGGACCCTTTGGGTACGGAACCCTCAAGTTAGTATCACTTCGTAATTCATCAAAGAGATGGTTGGCAAGTTGTCGAATAAATAATTCAGTAGAGTGTAGCAATTACAGGTGAGCTGGCATTTATCCAAAGCAACGAGCCTATTTTAAAACAATTATACAGTTGTAACACGCCACTGATAGGTGTTGAATTAATTCAAAGAAGTGCTCCTCTTAGTGTTTAAGGTTTACATACATTTTCCATTTGTCAATTAATATGTAAAATTTTCAAGTATTGTACAATATATATATATATACAACTTATACAGCTTACATACACATATATATATATATATATATATATATATATATATATATATAATATGTATGAGCAGAAAAGTTATTACGGGATGTGTACATTTTTTTAAACTATTCCCAGGTAAATGCAGGGATAATAGTAATAAACACATTTTGTGACCGATCTTTTCCGCGATGCAAACGTAAGCTGTGTAAATCGATGTGCCCCTTTTTTTAAGCCCATAATTGTAAAAATCGCTGTCTCAGAAGTAGTTTAGCGTTAAAAACTTATTAAAAATAAAATAATCTATAGAAATTTCAAACTTACCAGTTTTTTTATGACTTTGACTTTAAAAAATACAAGGTGAACTAGTTCAATGACTTAAGCGAGATAAAAGGATGCTAAACGTTGAACAAAGAACTTCGCACATTTGAAAAGTTGCAGCATTCTATTCGTCTCATTTAGATTTGATATAACACTGATATAACAAGTGTTTCTTGACTTATCATTTAAATATATAAACTTCTTCATTACTAGAGTATTCTAAAGTACTGAACTAGTTTTCTAAGAGATTTTGATGAAGAAATGTAATATTTATTTAAATGGTATATATGTATAATATTCGTATTTCATTAAAATAAGCACTTTCTTAATTTTATTATTACACTAGCGGCTCCCCTCGCTTCGCTCGTGTTAGTCCCTAGGTACGTTTAAATAGTTATTAGCCAGTGTTAGGCCATGTACATAAAAAAAAATTTTTGGTGATTTTTTTCGATGTTTTAATACTTATTGTCCTATTCCGGACTAAGAGAAATTCAAAAAATTAAATATCATAAAAATTGATCCAGCCGTTCTTGAGTTATAAATGGTGATGATGGTGAAAATACATGACTTTGTTTTATATAGATATAGAAGATGTTCGAAATTATCATCAACCATAAACATGTGTAAGAATGTAATCAACTTTTATTTAACGGACATAGCCGAAGGAAAAATATTCTATTCCGAAATAAGTTAGTTTTTTATGGAGTAAAAAGTGGAAGTAAAGTATTTATATGAACAAAATTAATTTAGATTTTAAATTTATAAGGGAGTATATTTAAAAAGTTTTGCGAAAGCGTATAAAGTACGATACTCCAGAAGTGTCTGAAACTCATTAGAACATTCTGTCCTAAATAAACAAGATTAGGTACTTTAAGCCAGCTAGCATTTATCTGGGCAAGGAAGGTAAGCAAAACAATTTAACAAAAGTGCCAGAAGGATGTGTTAGCATAGCTTATTTATTATGTACATAATATATACCTTATAGTCTTCTACTTAGAGTGTATACTAGTGGTTCACATCAGCCTTTACAGTTGTCAATGTTAGTTGACATAATTTAATTTCATTACAGGCTGTTGTGCTTTTTAAAATGAAAAGTACCAACTAGTTACAATTAATAATGACTCGAGAGAGTACTTGTAAGTGATATTATAAAGAAATTAGAAACATAAAGTAGACATGTGTTAATTTGGTTTCAGTTCTAAGTTTGTAAGCTCTGAGAGAGATTCACAACGCTTACGCATTTCACCGTACAAGATTGCGCAGGGCTTGTAACTAAGTAGCGTGTGTCAGTTGATTTTGCAAAAGTCAACGTAATCGGTTTTGCTATAGAAATATCAAAAAAAGTCTTTTTTGTAAGCACTAAAGAAATACTTAGTGTTTGTTTTGATAATAAAAATCATAAAAAGAAGTAAATAGAAAACTGTGACATAATTAATTTAACATTATGTAACATACTGTACACAACCTTAGTGTAACAATGCATATACACAGTGTACAACATAATTTTTTGCTCATACTAAAATATAAACCGGCTTAGGACCATTGGGAAATAATAATAATAAATAAATAAATATGTTGGGACATTAACACACAGCACCATCTAGTTCCATGGTAAGCTGTGCCAGCGGTCGCGGGTTCGAGTCCCGCTGGGGACATTCATTGTGTGATGAGCACGTATGTTTGTACTCCAGTCATGGGTGTTTATATTTATAATATGTATTCATTTAAAGTTTTATATGTGTAGTATATCAACTAACTGGTATCCATAACACAAGCCTTGTAGCTTACCATGGAACTAGATGGTGCTGTGTATTAATGTCCCAACATATTTATTTATTATTTTATTTTTAAACATTTTGCAAAAATAATTTACCGGAATGATGACATATATCATCATAGATTCATTCAATTCATGATGATATATGTAGATTAGATATATGTCGATTAAAATAATTATTTTAATTATAATGAATAAGTTATTTTAACTTTAATTATTGATATACTAGTAATTTATCTTCGCTTCGCTCGGAAGTTCGGGGGTTCGCTTCGCACCAGTATATGATATTTCAGGTATACTCTATATAATATTTAAACATACAAACTTACAAATTGTTACTTAATAAGAAATTTTCGAATTTATAATAGGAGTGTGGTATTCTTAGATTATTTCATAATCACTGTCGTTACGTAATTTGAAATAAGAAAATCGATGAAGACTTTATCATATTCTGTGACAAGTTTGTAACTTCACTTGGCTCGTTAGCACGGACTCCGTTTAGTTTAACTTCCGACGGCTGATTGCCGTTACAGAGGAAGTTGGTCTTTTAATAAAGGGGTTTTTAGCAACGATGATAACGATTTATTGTTCGTGTCATCGCTGTTAACAGTAAGTAGGATATTAAATGCTAAAGTACTAAAATTTTTATTGTAAATTATAAATAGGGCCCCATTTTTATAATAAAAGTATTACTATTATTTAAGTATTACATATAATAAATTAAATTTAAGTTTGTGTTTGTTCGAGTTAACCTCAGAAATTACTGTAAACATTTTGTTACGATTTTCGCCAACAGACAGAGGGATTATATATCTATGCATGCATATAAATGATAAATATTATGCAAAAATAATGAATCTACCGGTATGATGATATATGTGAATTATATTGACAAATATCCTTTCATTGAAAGTAATTCGGTTTATTAAAATTATTTTGCAGTTAATAGAGCCATTTTAAACAAGCTATATGTATATAAATATTATGTTAAGATGTATATATGTGTTTATGTTTATGCCATGTTCCTAGCGGGATAGCTAAAGATAATACAAATGGAGTGTCGAGCGCTACGTTATGTAGAGACACTCCTATCGGTTTATTCATTGTTATTATTTTCGTGATATTATTCTCGCCGGGGGCTTCTCAGACGTTTTGATCTTTTGTAAGAATAATAAATACTTAAACTGTACTAACTGTGAAAACTTGTAAAGCTAAGTTTGTCTCACTCGTCTCCCCGCATCTTGATCGTTTTCGGAATACTCCGCGTTGGTTTGGTTGATCCTTTTTTGGCTGGCGGACTAGTGCCTTTAGTGAGATAGTCGGTAATACATTTTTATATAATATAGTTTTTTATTTACTTCATATAATATAGTTTTTTAAATACTTGGAGAAGGTATCCGGATGCGGCTGTCGAGTTACAGTAAAGTTCTTATCGAATAGTTACTGATTTGTG